CAGCACCATCTGGTCTCCCATCCAAGGATGGACCAGACCAGCCCTGCTTAGCTGCCAGAGGAACTAGCAGTCCAAGGCAGGTCGCCGTGGTGCCGGCCAATCAAGATCACATAACAATTAACCCAGAGAGGCGTCTGTCGTCGTACCTTCGGTAAAACATATTGAGGGTTTGTTTTTGTTTTTTTTTACCGTTGCCCAGCTCCCAGGAGATGCGGTACTGCTTCGACTCGCAGTACCGGATCAATGACCGGGCGTTGCTGCTGTTCCAGGTGTTGTCCGAGGTCCGGAGCAGGGCATTCAGACCGAAGATGAGGTCCATCTCCGTGCAGTTCGCGAAGGAGTTCAGGAGATCCACAGAGTACTCTAGAAGAGATGAATGGAGGGGCAATTTGGTTATAGTTGTAGTAAAGCCATAAATACTGCTGGCTACTGTAATAGCCAACTTTACCTATTTCAGGCATTACTATGAACTTAGATTTTCTGGGGGTTTTCTCTCCACAGACAAAGTTTCAAGAGAAAAAAAATCCCCAGACGGATGAGTCATAACTTCACATATTTTTGCACAGCAGCGATGGCCCGCTGTGAAAAAGTTTACATTTCAGTTAACCGCGTTTTTTGTTTGCGCTTGCCATCCGATATCCTACCTGTGAACTTTACCCTCCGGTACTTTCTCTGCAGATCCTCTTTCCGGAGTAGTACTTGCTGCTGAGTCCACTGCTTCTTCAACCTCTCCTCCAGCAACGGAGGCAACTCCATTTTCTCACAACTATCTTCTGGTCATATGGAGAGAAATGGGAATCAAAGTCATTAACATGATTTAGAAAGAAACCAACCGAGACAAGAGACTAGAGGCTATTTTGGACTGGAAAATGCGTTGTGTGTGATATCTCACCGGGTTTCTGCGGATCATCATAACCGTGGGACTGGGTGAAGACCTTCTCCATGTTGAACACCATGAAATCCTGCTGGGTCCCCCCAAACCTCAGATAGGACGGGGTTAACGCACGGGCCAGTGTCCTGAGTTTTGGGGACCTTGAAATTAAAAAAAGAGAAAAAGAAAAAAAAAAGCATGATAAATAAGTGAATGAGATTTTAGTCCTTGTAATTTACAGCCCTGTGCATCTGCTTGTGGTGGTGACACGACTTGACAACAAACTAAGGATGCCATTTCAAAAGAGGTGGTGGGCCAGAAGTGAACCACTTGGATTTAAATCAACCGAAATAACGTCCCCAGCAGTTGGATGTGAACACAGCTGGTGTGTATTGCGACACACACACACATCCAGCTGCCACATCCCCAGCTCAGAGTCCACACACACTCACTCACTCTGGACACTCACTCTCACACACACAGCCCTCCGAGTCCACACACACACTCACTCTGGACACTCACTCTCACACACACACACACTCTGGACTCTAGCTCAAAGTCCACACACACTCACTCACTCTGCACACACCGCCCTCAAAGTCCACACACACACACACACACACTCACTCTGGACACTCACTCTGCACACACACACACCGCCCTCCGAGTCCACACACACACACACACTCACTCTGGACACTCACTCACTCTCTCACACACACACACACACACACACACACCGCCCTCCGAGTCCACACACACACACACACACACACACACACAACACACACCGCCCTCCGAGTCCACACACACACACACACACACACCGCCCTCCGAGTCCACACACACACACACACACACACACCGCCCTCCGAGTCCACACACACACACTCTGGACACTCACTCTACACACACACCGCCCTCCGGTGCGAACGAAAGGCTGTAAAAACCAAAAGCTCACCCCAGCATGTACATGAACTTCTCCTCGGCCACCAGACTGGCGTCGACGGCCACGGAGAGGAAGCGCGGGTCCACCTCCCGGGCGGCCCGGTCCAGGTCCGCCCTCACCTGGACCCCCGCCGCGGGACCAGGTGCGGCGTTGAAGCAGCCCCGTACGCAGACCACCAGGATCACCGCGGCCCACAACATGGTCCTCAGCATGGTTTCCACAGACCATCAACACCGGGGCCGGTCTCTTCTGGGTTCATTCATCGCGGGCGGGGCAGAGGTGTTTTACACGCAGCCTACTTCCTGGACAACCTGGCGGACCTGCTGCGTGGGTCTGAGGGGCGGAGTGTGTGTGTGTGTGTGTGTAAAAAGGAACAAATAATGGATGTGGAAATATTGTAGGCTACTTTTGGCCCCATGACCTGTCCTACAGGGAAGACACGTTGTTATTGACGTCATGACATGGTCCTCTCATGAGGCCGACGAGGATCTTACTACACACTGCTGCTTTTAACAAGCAAACGTTCTTAACAACGTAAATAACGTAAATAACGTGAACAACGTTAACAACATAAATAACGTTAATAACGTACATAGCGTAAATAACGTCAATAACGTAAATAACGTAAATTATGTAAATTACGTAAATTATGTAAATTACGTAAATAATGTAAATAACGTTAATAACGTAAATAACGTTCATAACATAAATAACGTTAATTACGTTAACAACGTAACAACGTTAATAACGTTAACAATATCAAAAACCTTTCTCAATCAATACATTCTTATGAAATATAATATAAGACAAGGCATGCGTATATTAGATGTATTCTGTATATTTATCAAAATGTTTATTGTGGATCTTGACCCTCTTGACCCTCTGCTGCTCAGCCAGGTCTAGGACACTAACCACACACCCCACCGAGATACAGAGAGGGAGACAGGTAAACATTATGGTTAGATAATGGGGTAACCTATTTAACATTCCAACATTCCATCCACATTTACGTAACTTACGCAAATTGCGTAAGTTATTTACGTCAATTGCGTAAGTTACGCAATTTACGTAAATAACTTACGTAATTTGCGTAAGTTACGTCAATTGCGTAAGTTACGCAATTTACGTAAATAACTTACGTAATTTGCGTAAGTTACGTTATTTACGTAAGTTACGCAATTTACGTAAATAACTTACGTAATTTGCGCAACTTACGTAAATTGCGTAACTTACGCAATTTACGTAAATAACTTACGTAATTTGCGTAACTTACGTAAATTGCGTAAGTTACGCAATTTACGTAAATAACTTACGTAATTTGCGTAAGTTACGTAAATTGCGTAAGTTACGCAAATTACGTAAGTTATTTACGTAAATTGCGTAAGTTACGCAATTTACGTAACTTACGCAAATTACGTAAGTTATTTACGTAAATTGCGTAACTTACGCAATTTACGTAACTTATGCAATTTACGTAAATAACTTACGTAATTTGCGTAAGTTACGTAAATTGCGTAAGTTACGTAAATTGCGTAAGTTACGCAATTTACGTAAATAACTTACGTAATTTGCGTAAGTTACGTAAATTGCGTAAGTTACGCAATTTACGTAAATAACTTGCGTAATTTGCGTAAGTTACGTAAATTGCGTAAGTTACGCAATTTACGTAAATAACTTACGTAATTTGCGTAAGTTACGTAAATTGCGTAACTTACGCAAATTACGTAAGTTATTTACGTAAATTGCGTAAGTTACGCAATTTACGTAACTTACGCAAATTACGTAAGTTATTTACACAATTTACGTAAATTACATAAATAACGTAACAACGTAAATAACGTAAATAACGTTAATGACGTTAACAACGGTAACAACGTTAATAATGTTAATAACGTTAACAATATTAAAAACCTTTCTCAATCAATACATTCTCATGAAATATAATATAAGACAAGGCATGCGTATATTCTGTATTTTTATCAAAATGTTTATTGTGGATCTTGACCCTCTTGACCCCCTGCTGCTCAGCCAGGTCTAGGACACTTACCACACACCCCACCGAGACACGCAGAGGGAGATAAAGAGAGAGAGACCTGAGCTTGACTGAAGGAGGACACAGTCCCCCCCCCCCCCCCCCCCCCCCCCCCCGTCAGAGAAAATTGCTAGGGCCGAATTTGGTTCCCAGTCCAACCCTGGTCTGGGCTACAGCCCCGGATTATTTCAATTGCTAGCAACGTCCATGGTCTCTGTCTGTCCGCGTGGACGGGTGTGGTCCTATTTAGCGAGGGCACGTGACGCGCGTCAGCCGCGTCTGACCGCGTCTCCGCTCCATCACACGCACACATCTTTATTGCTTATGAGGACACTTTCTGTAAAACACTGCGCTTGCGTTTTTCCATGTTCCTCTGTTTCAACATGGCTTGTTTTCCTGCTATATCACAAAACATAATGTCATTTCTTTTTTTTTAAATAGATCATAGGACAACAGAATAGATTTCTCTCCATTGTTATTTTAATCAGATGTTTCTTTCAAGTGGCAAAATAAACTAGTGTTTGACATAAATAGGACAACACATTCAAACGGTTGCGTTAATTATTCTTATGTACATTTAAAGCATTAAAAAATAAACACGGTTGACATGTTTAGTGTGACGCCATGGGTAAATCCAGAGGCAGCATCAACAGTTCGTCCACTTCTTCCTGCAGAGCCGACGCCTTCTCGTTCAACAGCATCTGCCAAACAGCACAACAGTTTTTCATGAAAGCATTCATCCAAACATTGTCATGTACCACACATTTCTTAGATATATATTTTATGGGCTTTCGTGCATTTATGGACAAGACGGGGAAGACGGACAGGAAAGTAGGGTTGAAAGAGGTGGAATGACATGCAGTGTAGGACCACAGGTCGGAATCGAACCTGCGGTCGTGACATGGCGTATTACCTACATGGTTAACGGGTTGAGCCACCAATCCGCCCGACCTACCATGTATTTCTTCATTTAACTTTGATTTTAATACATGAAGTGCTTCCAAAAGCAAGGTATTCATATCCACATTTTAACCTGAATATCAATTGACCAATAAAATAAGGAAAGCAAATATAATATATATGCCACTTGGCGGAAGACGCTTTTATCCACAGTCTTGCAATGCAGTGAGTGCATACATCCTTAACCTTGGGCAGCCCCGGTAGGAATTGAACCCCTAACCCTGGCTAGTGTTAATGCCTTGCTCTACCAGCTGAGCCAGACTGGACCACAGTATCAGAGGAACGGCGCTTACTTTAGCAGAGGCCACCATCATGTTGGCCTGCCTCTTGTTCAGGTTCTCCACGGTGTTGGAGAGGACGTTGGGGTCGGCGTTGGCCAGGTGAGCCAGCGTCTTGTAGCCGGCGTTGTACAGCTGCTTCGCCCTGTACTGTAACCCACAGATACACACAGCCATGTGGAGACATATGTTTAATACGTTACTTTGCCTATTGCATTAAAGGGGCCCCTATTCTACCACCAGGGGACATTACAAGCCACTTTTAAATCCAGTCCATGTGGGACATCCCAAGTGGAAGCCACCCAGTGCACTGCATCAACCGGTAGGCTTATCTATCCATCAGAAACTCCCACTTGTGACGTCACCATAGGGTCGCTTTTGAAATGGCTTGTAATGACTAAATAAATACCCTCGGCTGCTGCCCTTAACATCGGGAGAGTGCACACGTTCACTAAATGTTGCTGACCTCCAGGACTCCAGCCACCTCCATCAGGGGGACCAGTTCAGCCGTGACGCAGTAGCTCAGACGTCGGGTCAGCTCAGCCAGCAGAGCCTTGAAGGGCCAGAACTCCTCAAACTCCTGGTCACAGGGGAAAGATGACAAATATATTTTATTAAGTTTCATCTGGATATACTGATTTCTGGTTTGAACATAATGGGATACATTTCTTAATTCAAATAAAAAGTATTTAGATTAGATTATCGTCAGTGTGTGTTTTATTCTTTAAAAAGATATAGTTTTATTATATAGATAGTGCTGATGTTCTGTGTTTTACACTTTTATGTGTTTTTTTCATGTAGATTTTGCTAGTGTTTTTTTTTTAATTGTATGTACTGTATGTATGGTGTATGTTATACCACTCAGTTAATGAATAAAAACACTCACTTAGACTTTGACAACCCATCAAACACACGGTGTGTATTGTGTCATTATTATCTACCTCGGTGAAGTGCAGCACACAGGAGCAGAAGGCCGAGGAGGAGCTGAGCAGGGTCTGGATGAAGCCCCTGCTGAGCTGGAACCGCTCGGCTACGCTCCACAAGTTGGTCTCCTTTAGCAGGGTGAAGAGCACCAGGGCCAGGTACAGACGCCGCACCGCCGCCATGTTGACACTCTGGAGGGGAGACCAGTTAGAGTAACCGACAAGTAGGTGACATGATAATTAAGACATTGGATTTCAAATAATCTAGATTAGAAGAAAGCAATGCTCCGTTTGTCTAAGGCCTAAGTATCTACTACTATATACTGTACAATATACTAAAAAGGCCTATTATCCACGCTATGCCGGATGTGTAAACATCTTTCTTTTTCTTTCCGTACACACTTAGCTAAGAGTTTTTCACCACCGAAAGTGGAGAATCGCTAAGCAGTGAAAACCCTGCACATAACTCTTGACTGGCCTTGTGTATAAATAGAAATATGTGTGGTCAGGAACATATAAAAGTTTAAAGAATCCTTAAACAGAAGAATGATATGTCACTCAGGAGTCACTGTCAATAACAGTTAATTGAAGTTACATCGAGTTACTACATGGAGTTACTTGAATGCTGCAATCTGAAATATCGTCTTTCCTCTCACCTTCTTCACCGTCTGGCCAGCAGCCTTCCTAGCCACAAAACTCTCGGGCACCCCAATCGCCGCGGCCATCTTCTGCTCTGAAGCAGACAACAGGGTGAACTGAAACAGGCCAGGGCACAACAAAGGGTTTTAAGCTCTTGTGTTGCAGGACAGTGCAGTGGTTTACGGTTGTTGAAGGTTTTGGGGAAAGGTTCTGGGTTTGATCCCCAACCTCCGCAACCTACCTAGAGCAGGATACCTAACACCTACCTGCTCTTTAATGACTTGTATCTGAATTCACCGTTAGTCGCTTTGGGTAAAAGTGTCTGCTAAATAACTAAATATTAATAGTGAATAGTAGTGCTGAATTTAGAAATGTATTTGTTGTGATGAACCTCCTATTATACACTTGAACTTTTATTAAAAAATATTATTTATTTATTTATTTATTGTTTTTCTGATTCCTATAGCTAAGTTGCACTCTGTCCAGTTGTTTTATTTAGAACAGCCTCACTTGTAAGTCGCTTTGGATAAAAACGTCTGATTAATGACAATATGTAAATGTTACATAAAACGTGTGGAGGGTAACTTCCCACCAGAAGCCAACAGAGATCTTCAGACAGCCTCACCTGTCTGAAGAAGGCCATCCAGTCAGGCTTGCACTGGGCGATCATGTCGTAGGGCATGATCAGGTAGATGAGGTGCAGGTAACTGTTGAGCATCAGGCTCTCCAGGCCTTTGGACAGGTCCTTGTAGAGCACGTCACACTGGGTCAGGTCCACCGAGCCTGGGGAAGACCGATGGATTCATGAGAGATACTGTTTACCTCTAGGTTTCACAGGGTATTTTCATCCAGAATTCACAGTGATTAAGAGACATCTATATTTAGATTTGAGTCATTAGCGGTAGTCAAGTGGAAAGTAGGCCTTAATGCAAGTAAGTAATGTGTTCCAAATTACATGTGGGGGCTTTTATCCAAAGCAACTTACATTACCATAGGTGCATACATACGTGAGTGGCGCCAGTAGGACCCTAACCTCTGCTCTAACATGAACTTGGTCACAACTAAACACCTGAACAGTGGATGACTATATTAAAAACTTGTAGAAGTGAATGATATGCCTGTATTTTTTTTCAGTTTGATATAGAAATAGAGAATTTGTTCTCATCACATGTTATGCTCTTCGTGCCCTAGTAACACTTTAGATTAGGGAACCTGTGTGGTTTAATAAGTGTCAAACTACTAGTATATTAGTTATGAGCAAGACCTCATTTTAGAATGGGGAACATATTCTGAGTTAGAAAGACTTAATTTATTAAGTCTTTCTAACTCAAGATAACTCAGAGTTATTTGGACACTATTAACACTTGTAGTTTTGTGTTTTGTTACATGAGAATAGAACAACAGTTTCCTTACTTCCTATCAATAAGTTGTAATTAGGAGGTAATTGAGGGAAAACTCTTAGTTAATGGCCTTGTAGTTGCAGAATAAGGCATTAATAAGTGCTTTTTAATGACTAACAAAGAGCTAATATGCTACTAATATGCATGCTAATAAGCAACTAGTTAATGGTGAATATGTGTACCCTAATATAAAGTGTTACCAAATATTTTAATTGAGTAACATTATCTTAACAAAACCTAAACAAATCCATGGCTCAGTTCACCAAATTAAAAAGACTTCTTCATGGCTGGGCTGTGAAAAAAATAAATACAAATTCTGTGTTACGCTGATGACTCACTCTTGTACGTGGCCTTCCCCAACTTGGTGATCTCCAAGGTCTCCCTCTGGGCACACTGTGAGATAGTGATGAGGTCCTTCTCCTTGAGGAAGGCCAGGCTCTCCTGCACCATGTCCCACAGTTTGCGCTCCACACACAGCTGGTCCTCCTGGACACACAGCAGGGTGCCTGACATGAAGTCCTTTACCTGCTCCAGGGTGGTGGTGATCTGCATGGAGAACAAGCAAGCACAACTCAACATCAAGCCATCATTATCGTGACTATTTACAACTAGATGGTCATTTTGGTCTTCAGATACATTCATATACATGTCACTAAGGAAAGAAGTAGGTAGGTAGACTGCAGACATTGGAGATTGAACCCAGTACATTTCTACTGGGAGTCACACACATGCTACTAGACCAGCTCCTTCATATGTAAAAGAGGTACATGCGTATTGTATAGGTCTGTAGGATACACAGAATGGCCTATGTTGACTATTTCTTTAACTTGGTAACTGTATTTGGTGTGGGGTGACAGTTTGTTAGTCATAAGTTGTGATTTCCTTCCTGTCAATTATAAAACCTCTCCATATTTATGAATAAATAACTATTGCTATAAATAATATTACACAGGCAATTTGAAATGAAAAATATATATATATACAAAGGTACTTGCATTTAATCCAATGATGGACAGTATGAGACTCAGGATTCCCTTTCCATCGTTGTGTGTGAGGTTGCTGTAGCAGGTTTCCATCGGGGCAGAGACAAGCTTTTTAGCCTAAAACAAATTAGAACATAATATATCACTTGAGTGAGTGGCAGAAGCAATATTAACATTTAAAAGTCTGATAATGTTAGCTCCACATGTAATAATAATACTAATTAATAATAATCATAATGATCATTATCATTATGATTACTATGATTATGATTATATAATAATAATAATATATAATTATAGTATATAACATATAATATTATTATTATTATTATTAATAATAATAATAATAATAATAATAATAATAGCAAATTCTAAGTGTTAAGTCACATAAATTGTTACATTAGCCCCAAAAGGTCGAGGTAATCACCATGATTCTGTCCTTGTCCTGTATGATGAGGATGCTCTCTCCTACGGTGTCTATCCCGGCACGCCCCGCCCGGCCCACCATCTGCTTATACTGGCTCCTCTTGATGAAGTCTGCAGCCACGTAGGGAGACCGAAGGATCACTCTGGAGGGGGGGAAAACCACATACACAGACATGGACCAGCACCAAAGGATGTTAGGCCTTGGGGGGGGGGGGGGGGGGGGGGACATCAATGATATTCAGACGTTTTCGAGAGAATTGCACCAGTGACTTCAGGCCTGTCATTTTAGTGTTAGCAAACAAACTTAAGAAATGGAGGGGGGAAAACCATACACAGACATGGACCAGAGGATATTAGGCCTTGAGTTTTAGAACACCAAAAAAAAAATCATAATTCATTGACGTTTTATGAAGCCATGAATTCAAAACGATGAACAAAATCAAATTCATGTTTTGTCATGTTTTATGAATTGACAAAAAAACTACATTATTCTGAATTCATATTTTATGAATTCACTACGACAAAAAAAAATCCTAATAATAAACTCATAATAATAAATTCACAATGAATCCCAAACCCCCATACCTGCGGGCGGGCAGGTTGATCCCAGCGGCCAGGG